CCCGCCTCCCCGTTCTCTTCCAGCGCCAACCTGCACCCCCCGGGGGAGGGCGAGCTCCGGAGATCGCGTGGAGAAACTGTAGTGTCCCGGGTCCGAGCAATGCCGGCCTCCCGAGCGGGGGAAAGCCCAGTCCCCGGTGCGCCCTCGGGGGGCTCCGCACACCTCCAGCAGCGCCATGATCGCCCGGCGCCCCGAGACCTGCCCGCTCTCGCAGAAGGAAGCGAAAGCGAAAGCCCGCAGCCTCAAGGGGAGGGACCCGGGATATTTTCCACATCCCCCTGCCTGTTCCGAGAAGCCAGCGCGTGTCTGGGCACCCGGTGCATCCCGTCCGGACAGGCTTCCCCGCCCACCGTCCGGGAGCTGGGAAAACGGCGGGCGACAGGCTGTCGGAAGGAAGGGAGAAAGAGATGGGCGCCCCCGAAAGCCCCCTTGGCGATGAGATTACGGGGAGACGCCGCCAGGCCGGGGCGTCCTCTGGACCGGTAGCGGGGCGGGGCGGGTCGCATCTCTAAAGGCGCAGCCTCGACCCGAAAGCTGGAAGTCCGCAAGGGCCTGGGGGCAGCTTCACGTCGGGGGAGGGGAGGGGCGTGCACAGGAGCATCATTTCGTAGAAGTGAGGGGTGTCGGAGTAGGTGGGGCACTGCGTCTTGAGGACAGGTTTGGGGGCAACAGAATATACCCGCAGCGTGTGGGGGCGGGGGCACCAAGGAGAGGGCGAAGTCTCTGAATCTGCCCACGTGGGCCTTCGTAGGGCCTCCCGGGGTGCAACGGTCGCCCAGCCCGCAGCCACCCACAGGAACTGCCCTCCCCGCCCGCGCCCGCCGGCCTGCTTCTCCCGGACTGAGCCGCGCCGAGCTCCGCTCTAACCCCGCGGGTTTGCAACCTGTGTCGGCCTAATACGCCCAGCAACTGCGGCGTCACAAGCCACGGCCCTCTCTGATTGGAAGGCAGCCACCAGCCGCCCCGCCACGCGGATTTCCCAGGCGGGCCCACGGGAAAGGGCCTGGCCTGGCCGCGAGGTGGGGAAGTCTGAGGGCCTCGCTCGAGTCCCTGCGCTTCCCGCAGGCGCTCGCCCTCCAGCAGAGCAGCCAGCGCCTAGGAGCCCTCGTAGCCCAGGCTGGCCCATCCTTGGGGCAGGACATGGGGGGGAGCAGGGAACGGGGAGGTGGCGGTGCAACCAAAGGGAATAGGACACTTTAGGGGAAAGAAGGCGCACCTAGGGCTGTGAAACACGGGGATGCTAAAGGAGAGAGGACACCGGGCTCCTGAAAACTGCACTGAAAAGTCAGCGAGCCATTTGGTGCACCGAAAACGCGAGAAACCATAGTACACAACACTGATTTTATTATAAATATCAAGAATCCACACAGGGCATTTATGCCTATAAACGCCTTTGCTCCGATTGGAAAGTAGCTGATCTTTCCTTTCTTTATATTCTAAATATTTCTCATTTTTAGAGTGCAATGCACAGAGACCCTGGCTATAAACCCAGTTACACCAGTTGTAAACCAGGTTTTCTTCCAGGAAACCTGCATTTTTCAAGAGGAGCTTGGAGAGGGGGTAATGTACATGGCAGAATTTCAAGTATCACCTAGGGGGTTACACTTGAGGATGTCAGTCCTGACTACTCTGCAGCTCCAGTAAGACCTTTGTTCCCAAATTCTCCACTAAAGAGAAGAGAGAAGTGAGGGCGATGAGAAGTCTCATTCCGGGGCACCCAGCCCATCAGGAGCCTGCACCATAGCCCAGTAGCGTCCCCTGTTCTCCATGAGCTGCTGGTGGGTCCCCGCCTCAGAGATGGTGCCTCCTTCCAGAAAGAGGATGTGGTCAGCCTGCTCCACGGAGCTGAGACACTGGGTGATGAGCAGCACAGACCGAGAGCAGCGCCCGGGGCTCTCATACAGGAGACGCTCCACCTGAGGACAGACAGACTGTCAGAGCTGGGGACCGCGCCCAGCCCAGAGAGGCATCTGTGTTGCCAGAGCCCACAGGCCTCGCCAGGATCGTGGCCACGTGTTGCTTCTCTCTGAAACCTTTGATTTGTTCAGGACTGTTTACATGAGGGAGCAACAGTGGAATGAAAGTCAGAGTCCTAAGGTGAAACCAGTAAGAAAAAAGCAAAGGATATCAAATAGTCTCTCTACCTAAGGACTGAAATATAAAGAATGCTTTATATTCTGTTTTAAAGAAGTACAACTTAGGGGTAAAGACATGAGCATTCAAGTCAGGCCAGGCAGACTTGAATTTGGGTCCAGGCTCTGCTACTCAACAGATGAATGACACCGGGCAGGTTATTCGACCTCTCAGCCTCCACTTCACCATCCACAGAAAGAGGACAGCAGCGGCCAGCTCCCTAGCACTCACGATGATTAGGAGACGTACCTGCAATGGGTCTAGTCGCATGCCTGGCAATAGTATAAGTTCAGTTAATATTAATATTGGTATTAGGGTGGTCTTTTCCTTATGTCTGGCTTCAGAGATTCAGAGAATGTCAGTACTCTTGTAAGTGTTTCTAGGCATCTTGAGGAGAAGCTAACAGGAGCTGAGAATTGCAAGGACCAGTTTGGGTAATTACAGTGCTAGTATAACTAACATAGGATGAGGGAGGGAGGGAAGATGGGTAGGACACAGGCATTAAGAAGACTGTCTCACCCGTAACTGGCTGTTTGCATCCAGGGCACTGGTAGCATCGTCCAGGATGAGTACACGTGGTTTCCGGATCAGCGCTCGAGCCAAGGCCACTGCCTGTCGCTGACCCCCTGATAGCTGGCTCCCAGCTTCACCTACCTCTGCAGAGACAAGGTGACAGCTGGGTAACCACATGTGGACCCACGAGCACACAGGCACACATGCACACACCAGGGACTGCAGTCACCCAGGACAAAATATGACAAAGACTCATGGAACAAGGAATAGTGGATGCAGCCGGACAGGAAAGGTTCTGGAAAGGTGGAGGAGTTCTGAAGATGTGAGGATGAAGGAGCCAGAGGAACAAGATCTTAAAACTTCAAACTGACGTCAGTGGGGCGAGAGGAACTGATGAGCAGAGGCAAGACTACTGGGGTTCCAGGAAGGCACGGCTGTCTGGGTGGTGACATGAATGGACAGAGCACCTGTGTCATAGCCCTGCGGGAGTTCAGAGATGAAACTATGGGCTCCAGACTCCACTGCAGCAGCTGTGATCTCCTCCAGAGTTGGCTTCTGGATCAGGCCATAGGCAATATTTTCTCGGAAACTTCTTCCAAACAGCTGTGGCTCTTGTCCCACTGCAGCTATCTGGGACACAACATGACAGAGAGTCATGGAACAAGAAATACCGGATGGTTATACAAAGATTAAAGACTCAAACTATTCAAGATATCATATCACAAAGTTACACACCCTCTCTCCTGGCCATTCCCCATCTCTACCCAGGGTCTCCCATCATTCCCTAACCCTTCTTCAGCATGTTCAGTGAGTGCTCAGCGAGAATATTCTTCTTACTTGGTGCTCCGCACCCTCCACCAGGCCACCTTCTTGCTCACCTGCCGGTGCAGGTAGCGGTGCTCATACTGGGGAAGGGGCTCCCCATCCAGCAGCAGCTTCCCCCCTGTGGGCTGGTACAGATTCTGCAGCAGGGCCGCCACCGTGCTCTTCCCGGACCCGTTGGGCCCCACCAGCGCCGTCACCTCGCCGGGCCGCAGGGTGAACGTCAGCCCCTGGGAAAGCAGGGGAGGTAAGGGGCGGCCTCTCCTCCCTCAGGAGCCCCTCTCCTCTGTGCCAGGTGAGGTCAGCTCCTGGTC